CCTGCTACTCAGAGCTCGCGCTCCCAAGCCAACTCTTAACCAATGAGCCACTCGGCTGGCCCTAGAAAATTCTTAAACACACAAAAATGAACCTCCACATAGCCATCCCCTAGCTTAAACAATCATCAATATTTTTACCAATTCTGAGTTTTTATTCCCAACATTATTTTTCTGGAATATTTTAAAGCAAGGAAGTATGTCATATCACCTACAAATACTTTAGTATGCATCTTTAACTGTAGGATTGTTTTAAAAACATAATAACCATGCAAAATTAAAAATAAATTCTTAAGATCATCTAATACCATATTTACATTTCCATACTTGCCTCAGAAATGTCATTTTACAATGGTTGCCAGGGATTGTGGAGTGGGGGAAATGGAGGAATGTTAGTCAAAGGTATGTATATATAAATTCAGATGTAAACGAATAAATTCTGGAGCTCTAATGTACAGTAGGATGCCTATAGTTAACAATACTGTATTGTATACTTGAAATTTGCTAACAGAATAGATCCTAATTGTTCTTATGTGAAGGGATATGTTAATTAGCTTGATTGTGTAACTATCTCACAATGTATACACATATTAAAATGTTACCTTGTATACCTTAGATAGATACATTTTTTTATTTGCCCATTATACTTCAATAAAGCTGGGGGGAAATGATGTCATTTTACAGTCGATTTCTTCAAATCAAGATTCAAACAATGTCTACATATTACATTTGTGTCTCTTAAGACTTATGAATTGTTTTTTGTTTTGTTTTTTTTTTGTTAATTGGGAAATCCGGGTAGGAGAACAGATAAGTTGCTGTCCTTTTGTTCTTCAGTCTAGTTGTGGAGGACATTGCTTGACTGGCCCCTATTGGCATTTTCATTGCGCTCTTCCCGGGTGAGGCAGTCGCTCGCCAGCCATTGGATGGCCGCTCACGGCGGCTCATGGCAGCTCAGTAAAGCTCATACCCACTGCCAGCCAGCCCCACTGCAGCCTAAGCCCTCGCCGGTGACTCGCAGCAGCCCAGCTCTAGATCAAGCTGTCGTTTGCCATCTTAGCTGTAGAGGGCGCAGTATCACTGGCCCTCATGTGGGATCTGAACCAGGGCCCTGTTGCTCAGAGCTGGCGTCCCAAGCCAACTCTTAACCAACGCACCACTCGGCTGGCCCAAATTCTTTTTTTTATGCTATTTTTAGATAGATTAGGTTATTTGTCCTTTCTGATTTGGCTGTTCGCTTCCTTGTGGTGTTATTTAACTTCTCTGTCCTCTGTATTACTTATATTTTGGTTGCAGATCTAGACATTTGATTAGATTCAGACTAAACTTTTCTTTAGTCAAAAATACATCACAGGTGGTGCAGTGTTCTTGTTGTGCCCATCAGGAGGCACGTAATGCCTGGATGTCCCAAATTTAGTGGAGTTAAGATTGATCAGTGGGTTCAGATGGGTTCATTGCAAAGCTCCTTATCAATCTTTTACCTAACGATTTTAGCATCCATTGATGATTATTGCCTTTAATCTGTTTGTGTTAGAAATTGCAAAATAGTGAATTTCCACTTCTATTATTTCTTCTGCCTTTATTAGCTGAAATTCTTCTATGAGGAAGAATTTTCCCCTCTAACTATTTGATAACTCGGGAAAGACAATTGGAATAGAACAGACAAACTAAATACTTGATTTTTTTCCCTTTATCAATATTCAGAGTAATGAGTTGATGCACTAGAAACTTTGAAGTGACCACTTTTGTTTATAATCATGATAAGGTTATGAATTTTACGTATGTTGTATGTTTTAATCCATTACAGCCATTATTCTTTTTCATATTCAGATTGTCCCATCTTAAGCCAAATGGGAATCCCTACAAGTTGGCTCCAATGTCCTTTTGACATGACTCCCATTAATTTAAGATTAGTCTGGGATAATTTCTGAGATTTCATGCTCGATATTCAGCCACCATTTCTCCATAGATGCTTAGTTTTTTTTAATGGAAAATAGTATTTAGAGACCACAAACTGAGCACTAAGATTGCTCATTGCTGTTGAGTTGTCATTGTTTCTAGATCTTTTTGGTTGACAGAGCTTTTTTTTAAAGTAAAAATATCCTAAGTTCATACCAATATTTCCAAATCAAATTTAAGATCACATACTTTTACTTGATTTATTTGATTTGATAGCTATGTCTATTTTCTCTTATGCTGAGAAGTTTGGTTTCTAGTGACATTAGCATAATTACTTTTTAATCCTAAAATACATCAATAAAAATTTCAAAATAATAATAGTAATATTGGTACTATTAGTAAAACTACTGACTATACTTTATTTCCCCTCATTTCTTTGCCACAAAAGGTAACACACAAAAACATTTTGCTTTTTTCACTTAACATATTTTGATGATCACTGCAAATCATTATATAGAGATCTCCTTTATATATATGCACTTTATTGTGTGGATATCTATTGATTATTTTTAATGTTTCTAACACAAACTTCACATAATTTTTCTTGTTACTATCTGTTGAATGCTTGTGATAATCTACATATTGTAGAAAGGTTATACTCAGACCATAATTCCTAATAATCTGTGTAAATTAAATAAAGACAGAATGCAAAGGTTGGAAAAGTGCAGACCCACAAATAAACATTGTACTTTGAATATACACCAATTGAGGAAGGAAAAAGGACTCCAAAAATGTAGGGTGGGAGAAGCTAGCCTGAAATTATCAATAACCTGTAATTTTACTGCTAATTAAAAAATGCCAACCATTTGTCTTAACACAAATTCCCTGGAAACAGAGCCTCAAACAAAAGCTTATATGCTAACACTTATTGGGGCGGGGAAGTGGGCGGGGGGAGGTCATGTGCAATCTCAGGGAAGTAGAAATGAAGGGGAAGAGAGAGTCAAGTAGAGAAGGAGGGAGAGCAAATAAACAGAGAGTATTTCTGAGTTGGATCCAGTTCCATAACAAACATTGCTGGTTTCATAATGGAAGTACCTCCATGGGACTTCCTGCATTTCTTGATTGTGTCTCCTGTCCCTTGCAGGAAGTTCCTGGAGAGGCCAGAGCCTCTGTTGGTCCATTCAGGCAGGTAACCAGACACAGGGATCTCTCCTTGTCATCAGCTTCTTGTGTGGGGGCTCTTTGGTCTATGACAGTGGGAGACAGCAGTAACAGTGGCCATGCTTCAAAATGGCATGGTGGGCTTCTCCCACTCGGGAGACAACCAGGCCTCTGAGGTAGGTCCAACCAGCTGGAGTGGCACACAAACTGGGTCTGATTCGCAGTTCAAAATGAAATCATCTAAGTCTTCTGTCCTTATTCAGAAATCTTTGGTAACAAAAATCATTTCAGACACAGAGCTAGAAAATATCTTAGTAAGTTATTAAATATTTTTCACTGACTTTTAACAAGACCATAAATTATTTTATTTTTAAAAATTCTGAAGGATCTTTTACAATTTCTCTCAGTAGCCCATTCTAGTATCTAAATATAGCATTTAAACCTTTAAAAAAATCAGGCTATTTTAGTTTAGCAACTTATGACTTAGGTGAATTACCCTCTAAGCTAATAAAAATGCTAACTTTTTAAAAATTATAAAAGTTATGATAATTAAAGAGTGATAATAAATAACTGCCTCAAACCTGGTCTGGGATATATCTTTTGTATGATGAAATTAACAATCTCCTTTTAGAAAGAAATCGACATTTCTGATCAAATGTAATCTAATTATGATAAATTCTAATGAAATTAAGAAATATTCTGACATACTAGCGTCTCTCACGCTCTGTTGATTGTCAAAGTTTAATAGTCTTTAATCAAATATTCCCTTTTGTATTAATGTAACTGGTCACTTTTTTTTTTAGCTAAATGTCTCTAATTTGAGTGAGTCTTTGAATTGGCCTATTCTAGGTCTCTTCTCTTATGGCAATTTTGAAATAAAACTTCAATACATGCTCATAATTAAATTATCTGAAAGGTTTTAAAAAAACTATTGTGAGGTTCAGATATCAAATATACACAAATATTGTTGTGATAATAGACATGACCCATTTTTCCCTTAGTGATAATGAGTGTGTGTGTGTGTGTGTGTGTGTGTGTGTGTGTATCCTACAATCAGTCTCACTCAGATTAGTACACTATCGTGGCAATAACCAACCTTAGGAGTCTATGAGAGAAAAAAGTTCAGTTCAAAGACTACAAACTAGCTAAGTTAGATCCTTGACATGCCATTATATTATTATAGTAAACATCTATTAAATTTAAGGAAGAAAGCTGGGGAGAGGGAAGGAGAGGGTAAGAGAAGGAGATATTTCATGCAAATCCCTCTCTTTCCTCCATTAGGTAACTGTTATCTGTATAGTAATAACAACACAGGTGCTCACTAGATAGTTTTGCATCAATGAATGCATGACTACCCTCTGGGACTATTAGATACACTATTACTTGAAGGAAAAGAGATGGAGTAGATAGCTTCAGCTTTCTTCCTGTGCTATGATTCAGTGGTTTCTTTTACTACTAAGAGTTGGCTAGGTTGTAAATATATTTTGAAGTCTGAAAAGGAAAATGTTCTCAGATGCAAGGCAGGGAGAAGATACCTCTCAATATGTCCTCTTTAGCACCAGGGAAGCCTAATAAATATCATTATCATTTGCATGGATAAGCAACAAAAATTCATTAAAACTGTGTATACCAATAGAACTAACTTGTGGCTGGAATAAGAGCCTTAACTGTGCCAAGTTTTATTCTAGCCAGTATCAGCCATCCTGTTTTCAGTTGTGCACATCCGAGTGCAGGCAGCCGCCTTTCCAATGTATAGTTTCTTGAACTGATAAGGAAAAACTGCTGAAGTCATGAGGCTGCTCCAGGCAGAACCCTCATGTGAGTCATATGAAAGCTCCAGCATTGCTGACCTCTAGCAAAAAAAAAAAAAAGCAGAGTGAACGAGGACAGGAGAGGCAGAGGGGGAGAGGTTCAAGTGTGGGTTTACTTCTTGAGCCTAGAAGATTATGGGTCAAGAGCTGTGTGCAAAGACTCTCCAGCCTGGATGCAGCTGCCATCGCTGTTGGGAGGGAAGCGATGCACACAGCTGTCAGAGGAGTGCGCCTGTGATGATGGAGGCTGCGATCGAGGTATTTGTATCTCAGGAGGAGCATCCTCCTCTTGATAAACCAAGGAGTTCAGAGGTCCCTTTCTGTAGCAGGATCTGATTTTTCTGCCGTAGGTCTAAACCAATAAAAAGAAAAGTCTATTGAAGTCACAGAAAATTAACGGCTGTTGTTATCAAATTTGGGGCTTTTTCTTATAAACCAAGAGGAAACTATAATCTTATGCTCTGGGCTGCACAAAACTCACTTGACTTGTAGTCAAGAAAGTAGTTATTCTCTTAAAATCTCTGCAGTACTAAACTACAGAGCTGAGCCTCAGAAAGCAAGCTGCAGTATTGGTATGCTGTGGATTCTAGATTTCAATAATTAGCTCATGGTTATTAGCAATACTGTAGCAGGAAATTATTCCCCTAAAGAGATAAATGAAGGGCACATGAAGGGGGTGGGGTGAAGTCTAAATTAAACAGAGAAAAATTGGAAACTATCCATCAGAGAAATGTAGGTTAACCTGAGTGTTAAAGGCATATTTTCAGATGAAGAAAGAATGTAATGTTTCAGCAATTGATAGCATTCTGTTTGGGTTTTATTTTTTTAGGGATCTGACTTTGAGGAAACGTGCCTTTGGGGGTGTAGGAAGCTTAGAAAACATTTGAAGAGTGAAAATCAGGCAAATAAAGAAAAAATGGTTTATGCTAGCCACTGATTCTTGACTTTGCATACATTTTATTCCTGCACTTTCTTTTTTCTCTAGCTAACAGACCTAAAAGAAGCATCATGTTCCATGACTTCATTTCACCCCAGGGGACGTCAGGCTGCCCGTGACTGGAAGTTCAAGAGTAAAAGGCCACGGAGTAACAGTGATTCTTTTCAGGAAGAGGATCTGAGGCAAGGTTTTCAGTGGGTGAGTGAGAAGCTGATGTTGATCAAGAATGTAATATGTGCTTGTCTAGTGGGGCTGGCCCGATTTCCAGGGCAATTACTGAGCAGGCCTTCCCAAGCACACTCTGGCAAATTTCTCTGGGAACAACAACAAAAAATCAACATTAAAAAAATGTGCTCTTCTTTCTTTCCCACCTCTCACCCTTCCCCATTCCCCTCAAGCAGAGAAAGAGCCTCCCTTTTGGGGCAGCCTCGTCTTACTTGAACTTGGAGAAGCTGGGTGAAGGTTCTTATGCTACAGTTTACAAGGGGATTAGCAGGTGAGTGACTCCTAGCAGGGAGAGAGACTTTAGAGATCAGGATCCCACTCCCCTACATGTGATATTGTAAAGCCTGGTGACACATGGCAGAAGTTCAGGACCTATGCAAGGCACCATAGTCAAGAGGGAGAGACATGATGATTTAAATAGCCTTGAAAGAAAAACTTCCCCTGCCCCGGTGAAAATCAGCTTCAGGCAGAGGCAAGAGCAAGTAAGAAATCCCAGAGGCAGGAGGAGGCCTAGCACTGGGAAGGGGAGAGCGGAAGGAAATGAGGACAGGGAGGAATTGCAGTCACTGCAGGGCAGTTGTAGAGCGTCTTGTAGATCGTTCCAGGGACTGTTAAAGGGTATTTGGAATAAAAAAAATCTAATAGTGCAAAGATGCCAATCATTCTCTAACTTACAATCTTCATGTATTCTAATCATGTTCAAAAGCTACAATACTGTATTTTGCTGTGTACAAGTATAATGCGTACTTCTTTGCCCAAATTTGTGAGGGAAAAATAACGATGTGTGTTATACCTGGGGAGTACTAATCCTATATCTATATAAATGTTTTTAATTCTTTTATTTATGCTTATGAGTTAAAAGTGTAACTCTACAAATCAATAACAATATTTATATGCAAAATAATACCCTGGAATACAATAATCAGTTTGGTTGAACTTACGGCAAACTTGCAACGATGAAGAGTCAGTTGTTGGCCTTCTATGATGCATAAATATCATACATTTGTTACCGGTACATAAAATTTCTTGTACCTTGTGTCTGTTCTTGTGTTTTGTAATTATTTATTACATAAAATTTCTTGTAGCTTAATATGTTAAAAAATAAATGCTAGAATTCCTTTATAATACAAACAGCAAATACCTAAATGTAAACAAATAAAATTTTGAATTAAAAATTAAAACAAAAGATTTTTTCCCTGAAAGTCTGGGCCAAAAACATGGGTGGGCATTAAACACAGCAAAATATGGTAATTAAAATATCATAACACAAGTATAAGAAAAGACAGATAAAAAAATACATGAGTTTAAAAAGCCCAGACAAGTCACAAATCCAAGCATTAGTAAGATCTAACATATAATTATGGTGGCATGTCAAATCAGCAGGGAAAAGAAGACAGTCCAACAAATGGAGCTGGGACAGTTGTTGGCAATTCGGAAAAGGTAAATATACAATATGAATTCCCAGTGGATTAAAGGGTTAAATGAAAAAAGAAAAATCTAGGAACTAGAAGAATAAATAAGAGAATTCTGTATAACCTTTGGGCTGGAAAGGTCTGTCAATACATAACACTTAAGGCAGAACCAATAAGGCAGCGGTTCTCAACCTGTGGGTCGCGACCCCTTTGAGGGTCGAACGACCCTTTCACAGGGGTCGCCTAAGACCATCGGAAAACAAAAAGATATTTACATTACGATTCATAACAGTAGCAAAATTACAGTTATAGAGTAGCAACGAAAATAATTTGTTGGTTGGGGGTCACCACAACATGAGGAACTATATTAAGGGGTCGTGGCATTAGGAAGGTTGAGAACCGCTGCAATAAGAGCAGACTGGGAGTGTCCATGGTGTCCCATCTGTCCAAGTATGTTCTAGAGAGCCCTGATTTTGAGACACCTTAATAGAGCTTTCATTGAAACAGTTAACATTGTCAAATTAACACAGCGAACCCTAAAACAAAATCAAATGTGATCCTTTATTGTAGTGCTCTCAACATCTTTAAAATGTTAATGTATACCAGGACTCTCTAAGAAAGAATGAGAAAATTTTAAAGTGTGAAGCATTTTCTAAATAAATTTATGACCAAAACAAACATTTGATTGTGAGGTATGTGGGAACTCTTTGTACTATCTTCTCAATTTTCCTGTAAACTTAAAACTATTCTAAATAATGAAAACTTAAAAAATAAAAACAAAACAAAAAACAACAACTCTGCCCAGTGTTGGCGAGGGAGTGCTGGAATGGCCATTTTTATGACCAGTGAGTGGTGCAATTACTCTGTGGCACAGTTTGGAAATGTGTTCAAAACAATAAAAATGTGCACAGCATACTCTTTAATTTAGCAATTGCACCTCTACCCTATAAAAATAATAGGGGCTGTGTGAAAAGATTGATCTTCAAATATGATCATCACTGTATTTTTAAAATAGTCAAAAGTTAGAAAAAATTTAAAAGCATTCGGAATTGGCTGAACACAATGTAGTATATTTATGTGATGAAATAATATGTCATAATTAAATATCATAATACAAGAATGAAAAAATTAAATGTAGGAAAAACAAGTTATTACTAAGATGCTATGCTCTGATATGAATCCCACTGTATTACAAATAATATATTTATATTTGCATTAAANTGATATGAATCCCACTGTATTACAAATAATATATTTATATTTGCATTAAAATCTTCTCTGTTCTCTGGCACTTAGCTTACATCAGTGAACAAAACAGTAAGTGGAGAGCAGGAGGAGATAAAAAGAGAGAATGGTGGGATGGGGCACATCAGTAGCACCTGGGAGGCCACAAAAATTTGGCTTTTATTCAGAGTGAAACGTGGAGATGATGGTGTGTTTTGAGTAGAGAGGTGACTTGTTTTGACTTTCACTTAAGAAAGATGGACCGGTTACGCTGTTGAGAATAGACTGTAGGGTGACAAGTGTATAAGCAGGGAGGTTATTTAGAAAATCACTACAATAATTCAGATGAAAAATAAGAATGGCTCACATAAGTGTACAAAGGGAAATAAAAGGAACAATACACATGAAAATATTATGAGGATGGACTTGGCTGGGGGGGATTCTCTGCTTTTCTGTATTCTGCAAAGTTTTAATAATGAACAGATATTACTTTGGTAAAGAGAAAAAAGTCATACACACACACACACACACACACACACACACGGTGCCAAAAACATGTATACATATTTTAAGAAAGGAAACTATTGAAATTGTAATACTCAGTATATACCGATAACAAAAGACGAATACAAGTCACGTTTGACTTCTGCAATTACAAGAGGTGCTCAAAGTGGTTACCATCAGTGTCCAGACACTTCTGATTGTGGCGAACTACTGCTTGAGCAACGTTGACCGAAGTGTCCATTTGTACACATTTTTTTGGCACCCCCAGTATATGACTTTTAAAAAACTTTTTTTTTATTTTGAAAAAAATTGTAGATTCATGTGCTGGAATATATTTTGAAGAAAAACTGTTTTTGTTTAACTGTCCTTAGTATAAATTGCTGCTCTGCATCACCGGAATGTGTGCCCTTTCCCCCCATTCTTCTAGGATAAACAGACAACTAGTGGCTTTAAAAGTCATCAGCATGAATGAAGAGGAAGGAGTCCCATTTACTGCTATCCGGGAAGGTAAGAACAGTAAAAATGGACCCAACAGATCTGTTTTAAGTCCTTGATTTTGGGGAAAAAAATGCATTGAGTCTATACACTCAGCATCTAGATATTTCTAGAAGTAATATAATTGCAATTTTATTTGTCATACCAGTTTTCCAAGTATATTTATGCTATCATTTTATTATTTATTCTTGATGAAATTAAGACTCAAAACTATTATATTAGTAGACCAGGACTATGAACTCAATGAGTATTTACTAAGTACCCTCTGTGTGTTTGGTTCCATGCTAAGTGCTAAGGCTATATCTGTATAACCCCAGAAAAATCCATGTAAAAGATAAAATAAATAATAGAATCACACAAATTCTGAGTAAGCCATTTGCTTGAAAATAATAAGTTGTTTAGATAGCACTTGAAAAACTTTTTGGGAAGGCATGTGTTTTTAGTGTTGTCCCTGTATTTTCTCTGTACCCTGCAGTATGGCAAGTGGGTGAGGAGTCTGGTGTCAGATGGTTTTAGGTTTGAATCTTAGATGTATCAATTACTAGTGGTGTAACTGTGGGTAGATTACCTATTTAAGACTCATTTTATTGCAAAAGATAACTAGTAATTTATAATATAAAAAGCAAACCAATATAGTGAAAATCAATCATTAAAATTTCAATTTATTAACCTTTTTCCATGAGCCATTTGAAATAAAATGATAATAGGATTGCTATCCATTTCATCAAAGACCCAGAGAAATGGCTCTTCCCTGGCCTTATTTTCTCCCTGTTTAACTACTTCATCTTCCCTTCTTTATGAGCACATCTTGTATGCAAAGCATATTGCTGGGTGTTGTGATGGATGAGAAGAAAAGGCCTGATCTTGCTCTATATCATTTTCAGACATAACAGAGCAGATGGTTCCAGTTACAACCAGTGTTATAATGGAGGTTAAAAACACATAAACTAAGATGAGAACCAGTTAGTGTCAGTGTGGCTAATGGAGTCAGTAGATTTTGAACGGAGCATGGAAGGATGGGTTATGCAAACAGGCCTGGATAAAAGCAATTCAGAAAATGAGTTTATAACTGAATTTGATGCCATTTTCAAAAGTCTTTCGGAGCCCCTGGGAAATGTGTCATTTTGAATTTAAGTAGAAGGACCAAATGGCTATTGGGCTAGCCAAGAATTCAGCCTGGGAGGATCAGGTGCATTCTGGAGATAAAGCATGGCTTGACATGTTTAATATAATGGAAGTTGCATTTACTAATGCACTTATTAGTGGTCTCCATAAAAGAATGATCAGATTTAGAAAGAAATGTAGATAGGTTAAAGAGTATTTCTGAATGTAATAGAAGTCCCCAGGTCACCAGCATAAGGAGGGTCTCGAGGCCCGGGTTCACCCCCTTCTCATGGTGTTTTCTTGTGCTCTTGAGCTTGTCTACTGCTTTCGGCTCACCTCACTCATATTTTCCCCACAGCCAAGTTTTTCATGTTGACATTTGACAAAACCTTTTGCTGGTTTGCTAACAGATGGTTCTCAGCATGGTTCAGAAAAGCTGGATCTGTATTGTTCTGTATGCTAAATGTTTCTTTCATTGCATGTTTACCAAGGAATTGCCTCTCCATCGCAGGTGTTTGCAATTACATTTAGTATTCAACTGTGGACTTTCTTGATTTGCTTTATGGCTTACCTTACTGAATGCTTTGCTTATATAATATTAAAAACCACAGAAGGATTTTTGACACATTGGAGGTTGGTAGGCATCTAATTTCTAACAATGAATGTTGCTTTTTCCACCAGCGTAAAAGCTGGGAGCCCTTGTTGGGAAGCCCTCTCCCCTCAAGAAGATACGAGACCTCATTTGAAAACTCTGGCACTGTCCCATTTTTCCTGCAAGAACTTGAAGGATGTGAGACCAGGGAGACAGGAGGTTAAATGAGAAGGGCTGGGAGGCAAAATTAGAGCAGCTGGAATTGATTAGTTAAAATCCAGGGACACTAGCTTAAAAAGGCAACCAAAAGCCACGTGCAGAAAAACTGAACGAGCAACACAGGCTTCTTTTAAAAGCCTTGACACAGGAATTACTTTTTTCTGGACAGTTTGGTTGCACTGATGATCTATAAGCCAAAGATTTATTGAGTAGAATTTTACTACATGTATGGTCTCTCTCCACTCATATGTAAGAGGAATACATGTGGCAGTTTATTAATCTGGTCATTTGGAATACTATTTGATCTTAACATGTAATATTATGAAATTAGCAAAAGTATGAACAGCACTAAGGGAAATACCTTAATACCCGTGCCAGGTAATTTTCATGTGTTACATCTTTCAGTCTTGTTATCAATCTTTGGAGATCGATCTTCTCCTTCTTCTGATATATAGCTGGGATTCAAACAAAATCTCTCTGGTTCAAAAATCCATACACTATCTGTGCATTCATTCTACAAATATTTATTGAGCACCTACTATGGCCTGGCACTCTGCTGACTGCTAGATACACAGTAGTGCTCACAAGATACATATTCTCTACCCTCACTTCTTTGCTAATTAAAAAGATCAGCTACTTCATAGCAACTTAGACAATCTTTCATAACCGGCTCTAGAATTATATTTTAAATGTTTGTTTTTACAATGAGGAGAAATCACTTTCCTTTGAATAGACTAATATTTTAACTTTTTATATAAAAACATGTTCCTAGTTTTATTAAATGGTATATCAATGTCTTAATACAGTACATTATTTTAAACATCTTTTTTTCTTTTTCTTTTTATTTCTTTATTTTTAATTAAAGTCTATTGGGGTGACAATTGTTAGCAAAGTTACATAGATTTAAGGTGTACAATTCTGTAATACATCATCTATATATCACATTGTGTTTTCACCGCCCAGAGTCAGTTCTCCTTCCATCACCATATATTTGATCCCGTTTACCCTCATCGACCACCCCCTCTCACGGCTTACCCTCTGGTAACCACTAAACTATTGTCTGTGTCTATAAGTTTTGTTTCTTCATTTGTTTTTCTTGTTCTTTTGTTGTTTTCAGTTTTACATACAACATACCAGTGAAATCATATGGTTCTCTTCTTTTTCTGTCTGACTTATTTCGCTTAGCATTATAATCTCAAGATCCATCCATGTAGTTGCAAATAGCACTATTTCATCTTTTCTGATGGCAGAATTGTATTCCATAAATATCTTTCAATAAAATTAGAATTTTTTGGTTTAAACCCAGGACTTTCAGCCTGTTAGCTGCATTTGTTTAGGAAGCAGTCATAGGTATAACTAACCTTTATTTGAAGACTAGGCGTATGACATACCCTCCCCCCAACGCACACACACACACATTATCATTTTTAAAAAATCCTTACATCAACTCTGAGAGGTGTTGTTTTTGTTGTAGAAATGAAGGGATCTGAACCTCAGGGAGATTAGGTAACTGAGAAATCTCAGACCTAGTGAACAGAGTTGTTAGGTAGTAGAATCTAATCTCTTCTATTCAAAATCCTTTCTACTTCATTATGATAAACTCCGAGCTCCTTAATTCAGATATTTCTCCTCTAGCAACAGTAAAAATAAATTCTATTTTTATGCTACATTATGTATAAATGTTAAGCAAAATGTAAAAGAAACATTTTAAAGAAAATAATATATAATATTATATATTTGTCAATTCTAATTCCATGGACTCTACAGCACCGGTGATTACAGTGTTTAAATTAGAAATAGTTTTAACGAAGAATCTTTTAAGATCATTCTCTCGTAGAAAACATTACAAAGTAATTATTCCCAGGTCATATATGACAAAACTGAGCCAAAAATAGACTAAAGAACCTCTCCAAGGTCATACAGTAAGGTAGAGGATACCAATTAGAACCGCTGAGTCATTGGCTATGACAAATAGATTGTGACAGGCCAGGTTGACAAGAAGTCCTCCACTGAATGCAATCAAATCACATCACAGACATAGCACATTTACATGTGCATAGTTGCATTTTTATAAAACAAAATGATGCCAGGATGATGGTATGTGATTCCATTAAAATTCCTCCCCAAAATCAGATAACTACTTATTTAACATTTGTCTTAATAGTTATCTTGATGATTTATTTTATTGGAATGCATAATGGGACTCATTGACTTGATTTGTGAAACCCAGGCCAGAGAAAATGAAACATCAGGAACTATAAGCTCTTTTTAATGCCATGACCAGTGGGGTTGGGGGTGGGAATTGTCTTCACTATTGACTCCCACGTAAACTCTCTGGTCTTCATTACAACTGTCTGGCATTACATGCCAGGCTTGTGCTAGGTGCTAGAGATGTAAAGACAGGGACAGGAACAGTCCATGCCCTGGAGGAGTTCACAGCCTAGAAAGGCTTTGACTACCAGGCACTTACTATGTATAGCAGTGCCCTAAGACTTTGAGAGTCAGCCTTGTTCTTCCTGCTCATCATCATCTTTTACCTTTCCTTCTAAACTAAAGTAGAACAGAGTAGAGTAACATCAAAACTTCATGACCCATTGCACTTGCAAAGCATCAACTTTTATAAAACTTCACTGAACCACAAACCCCAATGAAATGAACAAAACCAAGAAATTAAAGTTTCTCATATCATTGCAACATTAAAATTATTAGTTTTTACTACATTATTAAATATCTTCCATATATAAGAATCAAGTGAAAGTCCATGTAACATTCAACCAGTTGGTCATACTAAACACCTTTTTGGACATTTAAAATAGAGAAAGAAGCGTGGCTCAGTTGGTTAAGAGCTCGCTCAAGAGTGCGAGCTCTGATCAACAGGGTTGCTGTTTCGATTCTTGGATTGAGCTGAGCTGCTGCTAAACTGCCAAGAGGTGGCAGGATGGCTCAGCTAAAAAAAAATAAAATAAAATAAAGAAAGAGATACTTTGCATTTTTAAAACAAGTTTAATAACTTTTTAGTCATGGGTCATTTTTCCTGATTTTTGGGACTATGTTGTTTTCGTCAGGTTTCTCTCTGGTTTTTCTGGATGTTCTCATGATCATACCAAGTTAATATACACAGAATTCTTATAACAACGCCTGGCATCTGGTAAATGCTCAGTGAATGTTAGCTATCATCATCATCATCATCATCATCATCATCATTATAAAGTTATTTTGGAAGCACTCAGAGAAATTCCATTGTGATTCCATTTGTCTGGAGCTTTAAAGACTCTTCAATTTATCTTTGTGTCTTTTCTTTGAAGAGAGACAAAAATTAGTAGACTTAGAATATGTGAGTTATAAAAACAATAATTTTATAGGAATCAGAATGCTCTGATTTTAAGATCTTTTCCTCTCGGTTGGCTTTTACATCCCTCAGCTGATTAGCCTGCAGAACATACCACACCCTGCTGTGAAGTTTATGAGGCAGCCTTGAAATTAGAAGAAAAGTTTTTTCTTCCTGGGTTTGAGACCCACACATCTGAGGCTGCAGGCATTTTAGATTCCTCTGGTGGATGGACCAAACAATATACGGACACCATGAGATAAATGTTTTAAACATCATCTACTCTTTTATGTAAATTTTCTATTATTAGTCATCAAAAGTCATAGTTTCAATGTAAGTATTTTGGTATTTCTGGGTGTTAAAAAAGCAGTAGTAGACATAGCCATAACACACACAACATCTATAATCTAATGAGGAAGACAGCTAAAAGAAACAAAAAAATAAAGTATCTTCAGGAGAAGCACCCTATGCCAACCAATTATAGGTATAGAAATGATATTAGGCAATTAGTGACCACTATTTCAATAGTAAATATTTATTGAATGTTTATAATATAGCAGACATTGTTTTAGACACTGAAGATATAACAATAAGCAAAAAGATGAAAGTGCCTGCTCTCCACGGAGTTGATATTCCTAAGGGTGGAGAAAATGAACACATATATAATATGTCAGGGACAATAACTGCTATAATATGTCAGGGGTGATAAGTTCTATGAAGAAGAACAAAACAAGGCATAGGGATAGGGGATCACATGGTTGGGTCAGGGGTGGGGGGGCAGCTATTTCATCGAGAGGAGTCAGGGAAGTCAAGATGTTAATGGGTATCATGTGAGCAGAGACCTGAAGGGAGCAAGGGAGGAAGCACACAGAGAGCTGAGTGAGATAAGAGGGTTGCAGGCAGACACAGGTAAGTGTAAGACCCAGGGAGGAAACGTGTTTGTAAGGGTCCAAAGAACAGCTAGGAGGCCAATATGGATAGAACCAAGTAAGCAAAGATGAGAGTGTGAGTTGATGAGGGCGCTGAGGTGATGAGGGCTGGGCAGGCCATAGTAAGTCCTTTAGATTTTATTCTGAGTGCAATGAGAGACCACTGGAGTGTTTGGAGCTAGGAGGGACAAGCCCTGACTTCCATTTGTGAAGTATCACAGTGGCTGGCTGTTCTGTAAGAAGAAACTGTAGGAAGGAAGGAAGGAAGGAAGGAAGGAAGGAAGGAAGGAAGGAAGGAAGGAAGGAAGGAAGAAAGGAAGGAAGGAGGGAAACAAGTTAGGAGGTATTTGCAATAACCCAGCCAAGATATGATGATGGCTTGGCCCAGGATGGTAGCATAGGAGATGGTAAGAAGCGAGAGATTCTGGACATGCTTAAAGGTATTGCCTACAACTTGCTGATGGATTGGATGAGGATATGAGAAAAAATGTTGAAGGGAGTTGTCATTTCCTAGAATCCTCATCAAATGGATTGTTTTAAAAGATTTCTGCAAAGAAATTAAGATTAAAGATAAGACCAATAATGCAAATATAAGTAAACAACAGATAAATGGAAAAACACACACTTTCCCTGCTCCTATAAAATAGAAATTATCAAGAAAACTATATGAAATAAAGATTTATACCCACTGTTGTTATCAGTGAGTCTCATCCTAAGTGGATATTGTTCCTTGAGCTTTTTAGCAAATGGTAGTATGAAGCCATTGTAATTAACAAAACATGTCACCATGATTTTTAAAATAAGCACCAAGAGTTTTAATAATGTTATATTTCAGTGAAACTAAATTTGGTATTAAAAATAAATTTAAATATCTTTACAATATTCTTAGCAATTTCAGCTATATCATATCCTTTTAAAATCTAATTTTGGTGGACGTTTTACAGTGTGTGTGTGTGTGTGTGTGTG